CTGCGGCTGTGGCAGGTGGGGCGGGCCCCTGGGTGCCTCCCGCGCATGTAGGAGGGACGTGAATACTTTCCGCCTCACTCCTGTCGCTGTCTTGTTACTGGGGTCTGTTTCAACCAGGAACTGAAGAGAATTGAAGAAAAGGTGCCCCCCACCCCTAAGTGAGCAACAGGAGCAAGCGGGACTCACCGGAGCCAGGGGTGCCACGCCCCTCGGGCTGCAGCAGCGGGTGCACCACCTCAAGCTCGCCAGGCGGTGCCCGGGAAGGGCCGAGGCGCATTCTAACCAGATCCTGCCCGCTGTGCTTGTCGGCTACCCAAACTGTCTCCTCTCTCCATGCTGTGTAGACGATGTGCTCACCGAAAAGGGACATTGCAGACAGACTGTGCCTAAAGAGGAACCAGGAGAAGCACATACAGGCATGTGTATATACACAAGTATGTATACATTTAAAGGATGGCAGAATGTTTGTCTTTGGCTTATAAAAGTTTCACTTCAGGAGCCAGCTGGTGGTGTGGTGGTTAAGGGCACTGAACTCTCACATGGCTGACCGTGGTTCAAGTCCCGGACCTGGTGGCTTGCTTTCTCACTTTCTCTCTCATTCCGTCCCTCTCTGGTCAAATTTTAAAAAAAGGAAGGAGGAGAGAAAGAAGAAAGAAAAAGAAGAAGAAAAGAAGAGAGAAAGAGAGAGAGAAAGAAAATTCAATAAATTTTTTTTTCTTTTTTTGGAGAGATTTTCGCTATAGGGAGCGTGTGCTCGCCAGACAGACAGAGACATAGAGACAGAGAGCGAAAAATCACCCCCTAGGGGGGATGGTCATGCCGCAATCCCTTCTCCTCCATTCTCCTCTCTGGACCTTGGGCACGCATGCACATGCGCCCAGCATGAGTTTAAGCCACCGGGTCTGGGACTCAAACTGCGGTTGACTACATGGGAGTCTAGCGACGTAGCCATTATGCTAACTGCTGGTCCCTCAATAAAATAATTCTTAAAAAAAAAAATTCACTTCATTTTAATTTATCATCTGCAACTTAATTACCCACTTTTTATTTATCTTATTCATGATAGAGCCCGGATGTGTGCTCAAGAGACAGAGAGAGAGAAAGAAAGAAAGCATCCCCACCCAGGTCCAGTCCCTGTGGTTCCTGTCCTGGCCCTCCACATCAGCAGGGTTTTGGGCACACGTGCAGTGTGACTTCAGGCTGACCGGGGACCCTGGCCAAGGCCAGCCCGTGTCCTGCCTCACCCAGGTCAGTTTGCGGCCAGCTCTGCCCCCGGGCTGGGCCTCAGCTGCGTGACCGGTTCCTCGAAAGGTCGAACGTGTGTCATAACGACCACGGCTACTCGGCAGCTGCCCGGGCCCTGCCGCAGCCTCACATAGCGTGGAAACGGGAGGAGGCCGGAAGCGGGGCCGAGTGCGCTTCTGGCCTTGTCGTTCAGCATTTCGCTCATTTCTGCCCCTTGCCACAGCTGGAGAGTTCGCTGCCAGCACAACTGCAAGTCCGGAGACGCAGGTGCTCTGCAGACACGTGCTCTGTGGCATCCTCATTGGAAAGGAGCAGCTGGCCAACATACGAGACTGAGTGTGGGCCACGGAGCAGGCTCTCCACTTCGCTTGCAGCTGCTTACCGACCCTTCACAATAACGGCAAGAGGTAGGTACCGGTACTGCCCCACCTTAAGGAAACCGAAAGTAAGAAGAGCCGTGTGACCCTTCCGAAGGCACTCACGTAATACTGGCACATCCAGGGCTTGAACTCGGACGCTCGTGTGCTGAACTACCACCGGTTAATTACACCGGTTTAGTTTTCAGAAGTAAAAGTAATTTGTCATACAAGACCCTAAAGCTATTGCTGTACTTTAAAGGCAACACTCACTGCATGGGACGTTTGCAAAGTCGCACGGAGCCCCCACCATAATCACAGGAAAAAATGCCAGGGTCGCTTCCTTCGCCATCACTCTGCGTCCAAAAGAGCCGTCTGCCAAGCACATCCAGAGACAAAGCCGTTATTCTATCTGGCGTCTCCAACAGAGTCTGCACGTCGGCACCTCCCAGACTGGCCCTGTGCAGGCTGCCGGGCACCTCCGAGGACCAGAATATAAACCTGAGGGCGACAGCACACAGACCCGGGCCTGAACGCGGGGCCCATAAACGACCAGCACTGTCTAGCAGCCTGAGCTGCAGCCCAGGGGCTATTTTGAACGATAATTCAGTTCAGGGTCAGCAGGTGGCATGGTGATTAACGCACTGGATTCCCACATGGCCAACCCCGGTTTGAGCCTTCAACTGGGTGGCTTGAAAATCACAATCAATCAATCAATCAATTACTGTTTTTAAAAAGAGAAAGAATATCCAATTCAACTGGCATGTATTGCCCTATGATGGAAATGCCATGAGAGCAGTTTAGAATGGTGTCTCTGGAGCAGAAAGCCGTGGTAGTGCGGGGTGTTCATAGAGGGGGCCTACCTCGGTTCAAATCCCGGCAACTGCCCTACTGAGAAGGTGTCTGTGCTGTGAAAGAGGACTGCCGTCTCCAGCAAAAGGGCCTCTGAGTTCAAAATGTTACGACCCTACGAATCTTCGCTGCATTTGAAACGGATCTCCATGTCGAAGAGCAGAATTTACCTTTCTACCGGGTCAACCGCTACATTCGCAGGGAGTGTCGGGGTGCTTAACAGAGTGTGGGTACCGCCTCCTTCCATGTCCGTCACCGTGATGGCCCCTTCCTGGGGGTCTGACCAGAGGATCTCTCCATTTACCCAGTTGATTGCCATCCCAGAGACACTCTTCCCAATCCGGCACACTCTCTGTAAAACCGAATTTCCACATCGTTACTACCTCCCCGTTCCCGGACTCTTGTGCTGTTACGTATAAAAAGCCTGCTCTTTCAAGTATGGCCACTTTTTCGCATTTCCAAAAGGATTTCCATGCCGAGTAGCCGCAGGTCGGGTGCCGCAGTCTGGACGCAGCGGCCTTGCCTGGCCGGGTGAGCAGCTCTGGCTGTATGTTCGCCGCAGCTGTGACCCTGGAAATGACCGTGTGCACGGCTGAACTGGGCAACAGCCCTCACACGTGCGTCAAGTCCGCTCTGGCAGCTGTGGAATCCCAGTGCCACTTTAAAGACAGTTCACCCAGTCCCACTTGCTAATGGGATTGTTTAGATCTTTGCCTGGCCCCAGTTCCCCGCACTGCCCGTTCTAGTGACAGTCCCGAGTGCCTGGAGCCTGTGTGTGCAGCTGTGGAGCCAGCGCTCCTCTGAGGCTGTGTTCCCGCAGGCCCTTCCTCCCCTCCGGCCTCTCCTCTGGGCCTGTGCCAGGCGGGGGTAGAGCTGCCAGGGTCTCCCCACACCCACCCACCCCTGGCTGCATTCTGGCTCTCTCGGGATAGAAGTGACCCAGCAAAAACCTCTCTCCCTTTCACTAATATATTCAGAATTATTTTTTTAAAGAATTATTTTATTTAGCTTTATTTATTTATTTAACATTGACCAGAGAGGGACAAAGTGAGAGAGAGAGAGGGAAAGTGAGAAAGCTAGCAGCCAGTTCCAGGATGACAACCTGTCAGCCACATGGGAGTCCAGTGCCCTTAACCACCACGCCACCTGCTGGCCCTCACATTTATTCTAGGACTTGTTTGATGAGGTTGTGTACGGCGGAGTTTTAGAGAGCAACGCGGCGGGCCGTGTAGGCACTACGATGGCAGGCTGCAGTGCCACTGCAGTGAGCAGGTTAGCTTATCTGTGCTCCCACATGGGCTCTCTGGAGCGGCTGGACTGCAGTCACCCAGAGCCCGGCACGACCGTCCTATTAACCGCGCCTCGGTCGGCCGTGGGTTGCTGGTGCCTCCCCCTACGGCTCCGCATTTCCCCACGATGTGGGTGGACCTGGGAGACATGCTGAGTGGGAGAAGCCACACACAGACAGACAGACATCACATGAGCTCACGCATGTCGGAATGAAGAGCCAGAGAGAAAGCAAGAGAGAGAGAGAGAGCTCACACAGAGAAAAGAGAAACAGTGGCCCTGCAGGGGAGTGGGTACAGTTGACGCGAAGATGCAGGAACGTCTGTCTCCTAGCCCGTCAGCAGGACGAGGTGGGCAGACTCCCTGAGTCACACCTTGCAGATATGGAGTGGGCATGCCCCACATCACAGAGTCCAGCTGCCGGGGTACGTGACATCTGAGCACGGAGCTGCAGAAACACAGCACCTCATCCTGCCGTTCCTGTGTCCCCCACGAGGAGCCTGCTAGCTGTTCTCCCCGACCCGGCCGCCCACCGCCTGCCCCCGCTGACATGCTCGGGCAGCTCGCTGGGGAGCTGGCCGTGTAACTGCTGTCCATGGACGCTCTGACCCCAGGAGGGGCTGTGACTTGGAGCTCGGGCAATTCCCAGCTCCTCGATGCTTTTCTTGTGCCGTGCCAGGAAACCATGGAGATTCTTAGGCAAGATTTTGAAACTAGTCCACCGCTGGCTGGAGACTAATGAGTAGCCATCCTTGTGAAAAGTGAGATTAGCAAGTATTAGGGATGTGATAAAACAGATTAGCACCTAATTGAAGTTTGTAAGAATAATTGGAGGGAGAAAGGCTTGATTTAAAGAAAACAAGAAACAGCAGGCACTTTGTGTTGGGAAGAACGCTCAGCTCTCTCCGGTCACGCGCTCTGTAATCCATCTCCGAAGAATTGAGAGAACACCCCCCCAACCCCGACTCATGTAAGGATTCTACCAGTTAAAACGAAAGATTAGGGGGCTTCTGTAGGTACTTGAAGTGAAACGCTTTACGCCTGTTGTCTGCTTTACTTCCCCGGACCCCATGCAAACACCTTCTGAATAAAAGGACGACAAAAGTCTTGCTCCTGACGTCAAGGTGCCGGACCCATCAGATTCGGTGTGGATAAGTCAGGGTTCTCAGCCTCAGCCCTCATCAGATTCGGTGTGGATAAGTCAGGGTTCTCGGCCTCAGCCCTAGCGACATTCTGGGCTGGAAAGCACATGGCTCCAGGGATGGGCTTTTGCATGTCAGCTCATTAGCTGGTTAGCTGGTTAGCTGGTTAGCGGCAGCCCTGACCCCCACCCACTGGATGCTGGGACCATCCCCTGCTCCTACCCACCCAGTGCTGACAACTAAAAGTGCTCCTAGACACTCCCCAGTGTCCCTCAGAGGAGAAACGGCCCCCAGCTGGAGCCACTGGGGCAGGAAAGAACCATGCGAAAATAGGTTTGACCCGTAAAGGGGTGATCTGGCTTAATCATGGAGACATTTGTAAACATTCATAAGCTCACTTATTTAACCTTTCGGGGTTCTGAATATCAAGCTGGGAGCGGATACAGATGAAATAAGCTCCTACACTTGGCAGACGCATGCTGGAACCAGGAGTGATCCCGCTCTCCGTGTACTGGGCATCCCCCTGCAACCCCCAGCACCACAGCCATGGCACTTACCTCTCGCCCTGTCCCATTCAGGAAAACTCTCTGCAAAACGTGGCTTCCCAAATCCACCCAGTAGATTCTGTCCTCGCTGTAGCGAAAACCCATGATCACCGCAGTGCCGGCGTCGGCCACCAGGCGCCTGTACTTCGTCCCTTCCAGGTCGACCCTGAAGATGTCATTTCCATGGGAAAAAACGAGAACGGGCAGGGGACCTGCGTGGGAAGGAAGAGCCCACACTGTACCTCGCAGGGCTGTTCCGCTGGGGATGGACAAGTTCCCCCCAGACGCCAGGACTGAATGAACCCGCAGTTCCTGGGCTCACGTTTCCAGCAGACGGCACAGAATCACTCGGCGGCCGGAGTTTCTGCAGACGGTCAATGCTGAAACCATCCTCTCCACAGTCAGATTGTAACAACTGAGCCAAATTATGAAAACTGAGCTACCCCCACTGTAAACTATCTCCATACTCAGAAAGAACCCTCCCGGAGTGTTCTACCGTGGAAACCGTCTGTCTGGATGGGAATTTAGTCACGTAGCTAGGAGTAAAGTGAAGCTCTGTGGCGACCAGGGGGCTGTGCCTTGGCCTCCCCAGCCGTTGGGACCACAGGCATGCACTGCCAGGCCCGGCCCTCGAGGGTGGGCCGAGGAGAGAACAGGGGCCTCCTGGGGTCTGGGCTGGGCTATAGGTATTTGACCAAGCCTGGCCATGTCATGATCTTCTGGCCCCCCACCCATTAGGTAGGGCTGCACGCACATAGAGCCGTGCCGGGGGCTGGCGTTGTCCCACCCCAGGCCACACGGGCGCCTCCAGCCTCCAAGCATAGCTGCCAGCAACCGTGCTCACTGTCCTGGGGGCCCAGCAGCACGTGGGGGTGGGCTGTCATTCCTTCCTCAGGGGCGAGGTTCTAGAGTGAGAGACAGACACTCCCTCAGGGGCCAATTGGAGCAGGGGCCCATCGGAGCAGGGGCCCAGAGGGCAGAACTGCGAGAGGTCGGACCGAGGATCTGAACCGGGAGGGGCACGAGTGTCCAGGACCCAGCCCCACCTCGACCCCGTCTGTCGGCAGCGCAGCCGTCAGGAGCCAAGCTCCAGGCACCAGCCGTGTAGTCACAGGCCTCTGGCAGAGACGGACGAGGCGCAGGACGGAGCAGGACGACCACGCCATTGACATGGGAAGGTGGTTCGTGAGGGTGGGGGAAGCAGCCAGACATTGTGCGCGGTGGGATGCTGTCACACGTACAGACACGTGTGTTCACACGTGCACTTCCCCACATGCACACGGGATGGACGAGCAGCTGTGTGGGCATGCACTATGCCCTCCTGTTAATTATTTTACAGATGGATTTTTAACAAACATTTTCCAAGTATTAAAAATAGGAGTTACACATGCTGAAATAGTTCTATTATTTGTAATGTAAAAGCATCATTGGATTTTCCATGTGCACGGATTACACAGAAACCAAGCCATTTAGTGAGCACTGTCACTGCTCACATCACCGATAAAGATGGTTTTAGCAACAAAAAGCTGTGAGTCGATGCTTGGGCTGGCCGCCGGCCTGCTGTATGCCAGACTGCGTGTACACACGCCGCTTGAGGTGGCTTCAGCCTGGTTCTAACCCAGGCTGCGGGTTAGAACCGCCAAGGGAGTGTCCAAAGAAAGCATGTAGACCCCCCCGGGACGGACCGGGTCGGCGGGTGGGCACCCGGCAGCGGAGATGCCAGTGCAGCGGCCATGAGCGCGGACATGAACCCCGGTCCTGGCCCTCCTGGGGTGACTGTCCAGATTCACACGAGGAAGACGGGACACTGGTTCGCGGCTGCAGAGCTGGGATCCCAGCCCTGGTGGTCGTCTGTCTCCACATCTGCCCTTCCCTCTAACTCCGCCACCCCAGACACCAGGCACACAGGGTATTTGGGGGATGGTGCCATTCATATCACACAGAAAAGGTCATTTCTGTCACTCTCTGCGGTTTCATTAAAAACAAAGCTTTTGCATAACTCTGCTGAAAAAATAAACACTCCTGGGATTACACCAGCTTGCACGTGGCTGGAGAGCAGGCCACGTCTTCAGGGCTGCAGCCAGGTTTCCGTGTTGGCTGCTGGGCTGAGTGGCCCACGGCTGGCCCTGCTGCCCGGCTTCCTCTGCGGCAGCCCGGAAGTCACACTTCTTCCTCGCTGTGCGTGGGAAGGGCCATCCGAGTAAAGCAGGTGCAGACGTCAAACCGGGACAGGTCCTTCTCCACTGTACTTGCGCTCCAGGGTGAACGGGCCTGACAGCCAGGAGCTGCTCACTCGTGGTATCCTCTGCTCCCTTCCTGGGCCTCACACACCGCAGCTGCCTAGACAACCCAGCCAAGGGGCAAGGGCAGGAGGAAACCCAGTCTGCACGGCCACCGCCGGCTCCAGGAAGATGGTCATGTGACCAAGGGTGTGGTGACAGCATGGCTGAGCCTCGTCAGACCTGTGGGCACCCTTCCTGCCAGGTCAGGCTGGCACGGTAGTGGCCTGTCCCCAGGCCAGGGACACAAGCCAAAGCACATGGAATTTACACGGGAGCCCAGACGGTGGCACGGATCTATTCGGGGAGGAGAGACAGTGTCCTGCGACATGCGGGGGGACAGGGCATGACCAGGCGGCCACCACCTCTGTGAGCCTAGAGCGTAAAGGAGGATTCAGACCAGTGATGGGAGCATGAGGGAGCGGGAGGCAGGACTCACAGTGGCTCCGGCATGGAGATGGGGGCTCCCCATGGCGCTGCCCTGGGGCCTGTCTGGGAGTGACTTGAGCCGAGACCCAGAACCAGGCCAGCGTCCTTGAGCAGATTCCGCCCCAGCGTGATCCTGGGCGAGCCCACGGCCACCCAGACGGGTGCAGCTTCCCAGTGATGTTTGCAGGTGCCGCAACCCCTGAGTAGGTAGCACGGATTGCAGGTGAGGCTTGTCTGCTCTTTAAACCTCGTTCCTTCTTGGTGAGTCCCCAGCTCACCGTCGCCACCCTGGGCTTGGTGTTGGTTTGGCAGCCAGACTCGGTGGGGGCACTTCTGAGCCAGATCCAGCGTGGGAGGGAAGGAAGGCCCAGGCCTGCTGGGGCGGGGATCAGACGCCAGCCTGAGACCGAAGGCTCATTTCTGTAACTCGGCTTCTCCCCGGACTCTGCTCAATGGGCTGGGCTCTTCCTTCCAGCCCAGATGCCCGAGCGCCCCATCTGCACCCGTCCCATCCCACGGATGGCAGTGCCCAGCCCACCTTCACGGTTCCTTTGCTTCACCCAGAGTGGCTCCTGCCCAGCCAGTAGCTCTTACTCCTGCCTCCAACGGCCAAGAGGAGGCCCACAAGGTAGTTTCTGGGAGTCCCTAGGATGGTATACCAGCAGGCCAGGAGAAGTGCGTTCACTCTGCGAGTACTGCGTGCTGTGTGGAGAGCAGTCGCTCCCAGTGCTGGGGCGCAGGGGTGGCTGGGGCACAGGGGTGGCTGGGGTGCAGGGGTGGCTGGGGTGCAGTGCCCCTCATATACTCTGACTCCCTCACCTGCTGCAGGTTCAAGCCAGAACACCGATTTCCTCACCAGGCCTTCCTTCCAGGGGAGCCAGGACAGAACCACTGGGGCGGTCAGCCCATCCTGCCTCTTCATTCCCACTGTGCTGTTCTGTCTTCCAGAAGCTTCTCTCCTGGAACCTTGCCTGTGTTTTCCTTGATCTATCTCTTTGCAGAAGCCAAATCCCACCTCGAAAGGGCGAGATGACCAGAAAGGGCTGTCAGGGCAGCTGAGGCTGGACTGTGGGACGGCCTGGTCTGGGCAGCGGGCGGGGCCTTTCCGAGGAACAGAGAGACGAATCGACAGAGACCGCCCCAAGCACCATCCTCGGGCAGCACTGTAATTGCACTCAGTGAACTCCCGCTTCCCCTTGGTGAAAGCCTGTCCACTCCAGAGGCCTGGCTCACCTCCCAGCCATCTCAGAGTCACTGCACACCTGCTGCTGAGAGGCACTGTCGCAGCTGCCCGGACGCAGGCGCACGGGGCGGGAAGGCTGAGGCTGAAACGCCGGTTAGTTTCCCCCAGGGCAGAATCAGCTCTGTTCATGGCACCCTTCCCACGTTCAGCTTCTCGGTTCTTTCAAAAAGTTATGGGCAGGAAGGGTTTTTTCCCGTATGGCCTAAATAATTTCAGAAACCCAGAAATCCCGCCCAGCTGGTTTCCCAATTCGCAATAAAAGCTGATCAGCTAAGAGACAGTTACTTCGGTCAGAATAAAGACTCAGGTTTACATTTTTTAAAAAATTGTTCAGCACATTTAAAGAGACATCTTTGCTCACACACGAGCAGACAGTTGGAGAGCTGTGAGTGTTTATAAACCTGACGCCCAGCAAGGACACGAACACACATCAGGAAACAAAGACACACGCCCTAAGCCAGTCTGCAAAGCTGCCCACGCATGCCAGCCACGGCGAGTGTCAGCAGCCGGCTCCCCGAGGCCGCAGAGCCTTCTCCCAGGACTACTCACCGGCTCGCAGAGCACCCCCGCTTCCCGAGGGAGCACCTGGGCCGCAGCTCTGGTGCTGCAGCGCCGAGGCGCTCGCCACACACACGTGAGAAACGGCCGGCAGCAGGACGGGAAAGAGGAGCAGCATCGCCTGACGGGTAAACATTCAGTAGGAAGGAGCTCAACTTTGCCCGAGCATAGCCGGGGCGAGGAGCGTGGCCAGCGGCCGGCAGTCCTGGGGCGGTTGGCGCTGCTGTCTGTGCCCTCCAGCCAGGTCTCAGTCCTCCAGGGAGCTTCTGAGCACAGCCTGGGAAGGACGCTCTAGAAAAACGTTCTTACCCAAGTGTGCTTTGAAGCCAGGAAGAAATACCTGACAGCCTTGTGACGAATGTCGCGGAGAGCAGCAGCCAAGCGCTGGAGGCAGGGCTGACTTCACGTGACAGGTGGAGTGCGCAAAGAGAAGCGAGCGAAGGAGACGGGGAAGCTCTGAGCTCGACCTGGATGCAGCAGAACACAGAGATAGGAGTCCTCCCCAAACACCGGCTCTCTTTTTGAAAAGTAGAATGACTCCCTTTTCTTTTTAAAGCTCTCTGGCTCCGCCTCCCATCCTGAGAGACACTTGAATGAGCGTCTGTTTGCAAATGCGAGCCGGGCAGTTCCGTGTGGCAGGAAAGCTGGCACAGCTGCCCGGAGATAACGCGCCACGGAAATACCCCAGGCCACCAGGCAGAGCGCGCCCGGGCTCCGAAGGCTGGGGCGCCCGGGCAGCACCTCCCCAGCACTGGGGGTTAACACCTGGACGGACGGCGTGGGATGCCACGTGCCGTGGGACCGATGCTGATACCGCCCGCTCACCTCTCATCATTCCGACCCCACGTCAGCACCAGTGCAGCCCGGAGCAGCCGCTTTTCCTCCCGTATATTTCGTGATTGAATTTGAAAAATGGGTCTTTCCAAGGCGAAGGGAATCCCTGACGCCAAATGAAGAGACACAGGCTTCACAGGCGCCTTTTCTTTCAGCGAGAACATAAAAAACGCCACGAGGGGCTGGGGTGCATGGAAGGAGGGGGCTATTACTGCAGAGCCGTGGCGTTGGAAACAGCAAGCTGCAGTGCAGAGCCGTGCAGTGCTGGGGACCTGGCACAGCCAGCGCGGCTCCTCAGAGGGCTCAGCGAGCTTCGTGGCTCTGCCATGGGGAGCGGAAGCAGGGCGCACGCACTGGCCGTCTGCACCTTCCCTCCTCACGCCACAGCAGGCCTTTCTAGAAGACACCTTGTACCAGAACAGTCAGGTCAGGAGGACCATTTCCACTGGAGCGGACACCGATAGAAACTTCTGCCAGTGTCCTCCGTCCTGGGAAACAGACTTCCGTGAGAGTCGCCCAGGGTGTTTCACGTGCTGGTCACAATGCAGATGGAGTCACAGCCACCGAAGTAAAGAGCACCGTCACAGCAGTGCTCATCCATGACACACCAGTGCACACCCATCACACACCAGTGCACACCCATCACACACCAGTGCACACCCATGTCACAGCAGTGCTCATCCATGACACACCAGTGCACACCCATGTCATAGCAGTGCTCATCCATGACACACCAGTGCACACCCATCACACACCAGTGCACACCCATGTCACAGCAGTGCTCATCCATCACACTAATGGACACCCATCACACCAGCACATACCCATCACACCAGTGCACACCCATCACACTAATGGACACCCATCACACCAGTGCACACCCATCACACCAGTGCACAGCCATCACACACCAGTGCACACCCAGCACACTAATGGACACCCATCGTACCCCAGTGCACACCCATCACAAAGGAGCTGTACTCTTATGTAACTATGTCCTGATTACCCCCTTGAAGACTGGGTTGCTTTTCTGAAATAGCTAACGCCAGCATTACGACTTCAGCCAGCCTCTGCCAGGCAGCTCTGACCCCGATAGGACTATTCCGTGGCTCTCTGGGCTCTCAGACGTGGCCTCAGGACGAGTGCCTGTTCCCAGCCTGCAGCGACTACTCCGGGTAGAATGAGCATCCTGTCCGCAGAACACGCAGCCAGTGTCACTGACGCAGAGGAAGGGCTCCGAGGGCAGCCAGGTAGCGGCCGCCTCAGGGAGAGCAGTGGGGAAGGACGAGACATAGCCCTCCACCGTGTCCTGTGTGGGTCTGGGACCTTGTGTCCTGTCATCGCCTTCCAGTTACACGTCCCCCGGCCAGTGGCCTTACTGTTGCACATCCGCCCCGCGGGAGACGATGGGGGACAGGGAGGCACATCCGCAGAGATAACTCACATTAAAGACCATCCAGATGGCAGCTGGCCCCCAACAACCAGCAACGTCCAGATGGCCAAGTCAGACAGACTTTCCCAAGGAGAAAGGGCGCCAGATACACCCGCAAGTCCCTCATCCTGCCTCTCGGTGAAAGCCCTTTCCTGGTGAGGGAGCACCCTTCTTACTTTAAAGTGGACCAGAAGTTCTTTATAACTTGGGTTTGCCACATGCACTTCAGCTTCTGGAACTGAGTCCCAGAACTAGCTGGTTGACTAGCTGGCTGACTGGCTGACTAGCTGGCTGACTAGCTGGTTGACTAGCTGGCTGACTAGCCGGCTGACTAGCTGGCTGACTAGCTGGTTGACTAGCTGGCTGACTAGCCGGCTGACTAGCTGGCTGACTAGCTGGTTGACTAGCTGGCTGACTAGCCGGCTGACTAGCTGGCTGACTAGCTGGTTGACTAGCTGGCTGACTAGCCGGCTGACTAGCTGGCTGACTAGCTGGTTGACTAGCTGGCTGACTAGCCGGCTGACTAGCTGGCTGACTAGCTGGTTGACTAGCTGGCTGACTAGCCGGCTGACTAGCTGGCTGACTAGCTGGTTGACTAGCTGGCTGACTAGCCGGCTGACTAGCTGGCTGACTAGCTGGTTGACTAGCTGGCTGACTAGCCGGCTGACTAGCTGGCTGACTAGCTGGTTGACTAGCTGGCTGACTAGCCGGCTGACTAGCTGGCTGACTAGCTGGTTGACTAGCTGGCTGACTAGCCGGCTGACTAGCTGGCTGACTAGCTGGTTGACTAGCTGGCTGACTAGCCGGCTGACTAGCTGGCTGACTAGCTGGTTGACTAGCTGGCTGACTAGCCGGCTGACTAGCTGGCTGACTAGCTGGTTGACTAGCTGGCTGACTAGCCGGCTGACTAGCTGGCTGACTAGCTGGTTGACTAGCTGGCTGACTAGCCGGCTGACTAGCTGGCTGACTAGCTGGTTGACTAGCTGGCTGACTAGCCGGCTGACTAGCTGGCTGACTAGCTGGTTGACTAGCTGGCTGACTAGCCGGCTGACTAGCTGGCTGACTAGCTGGTTGACTAGCTGGCTGACTAGCCGGCTGACTAGCTGGCTGACTAGCTGGTTGACTAGCTGGCTGACTAGCCGGCTGACTAGCTGGCTGACTAGCTGGTTGACTAGCTGGCTGACTAGCCGGCTGACTAGCTGGCTGACTAGCTGGTTGACTAGCTGGCTGACTAGCCGGCTGACTAGCTGGCTGACTAGCTGGTTGACTAGCTGGCTGACTAGCCGGCTGACTAGCTGGCTGACTAGCTGGTTGACTAGCTGGCTGACTAGCCGGCTGACTAGCTGGCTGACTAGCTGGTTGACTAGCTGGCTGACTAGCCGGCTGACTAGCTGGCTGACTAGCTGGTTGACTAGCTGGCTGACTAGCCGGCTGACTAGCTGGCTGACTAGCTGGTTGACTAGCTGGCTGACTAGCCGGCTGACTAGCTGGCTGACTAGCTGGTTGACTAGCTGGCTGACTAGCCGGCTGACTAGCTGGCTGACTAGCTGGTTGACTAGCTGGCTGACTAGCCGGCTGACTAGCTGGCTGACTAGCTGGTTGACTAGCTGGCTGACTAGCCGGCTGACTAGCTGGCTGACTAGCTGGTTGACTAGCTGGCTGACTAGCCGGCTGACTAGCTGGCTGACTAGCTGGTTGACTAGCTGGCTGACTAGCCGGCTGACTAGCTGGCTGACTAGCTGGTTGACTAGCTGGCTGACTAGCCGGCTGACTAGCTGGCTGACTAGCTGGTTGACTAGCTGGCTGACTAGCCGGCTGACTAGCTGGCTGACTAGCTGGTTGACTAGCTGGCTGACTAGCCGGCTGACTAGCTGGCTGACTAGCTGGTTGACTAGCTGGCTGACTAGCCGGCTGACTAGCTGGCTGACTAGCTGGTTGACTAGCTGGCTGACTAGCCGGCTGACTAGCTGGCTGACTAGCTGGTTGACTAGCTGGCTGACTAGCCGGCTGACTAGCTGGCTGACTAGCTGGTTGACTAGCTGGCTGACTAGCCGGCTGACTAGCTGGCTGACTAGCTGGTTGACTAGCTGGCTGACTAGCCGGCTGACTAGCTGGCTGACTAGCTGGTTGACTAGCTGGCTGACTAGCCGGCTGACTAGCTGGCTGACTAGCTGGTTGACTAGCTGGCTGACTAGCCGGCTGACTAGCTGGCTGACTAGCTGACCGACTAACTGACCGACTAACTGGCTGACTAGCTGGTTGACTAACTGGCTAACTGGCTGACTAACTGGTTGACTGGCTGGCTGGCTAATTCGGCAGTCACATGTGGCAGCGCTGTACGGAGCCTGAGGAGCACAGTGGCCTCCCCTTGAAGAGCTGGCTGACGTTGATTGACAGCAGGAAAGATGAGAACCCGAGCGTGAATCCGTGAGGGCAAGTCACCGAGGATCCCGAGGGAGCCGGGAAACGGGAATGCAATGGCCTCCGTGGATAGACATTTGCGTGGTTTGGGGGAGAGCAAGGAAGACGAGATAGGCCTGGGGAGGGGAAGCCACTGGGTCAGTAGGAGGGAGGGCGTGCAGGAGGGGGAGCGGAGAAAGAGCCTCTTATTCGTGAGAGCCTCGGGTCCTGGAGGGCACCGTCGGCAGAGAGACCTGCAGGTCAGTGAGGGCACCGGCCTCTGGGCAGGGGACAGCACTGAAGGCTCCTAAGGGGCGTGGACAGGCTGGATTGGCACAGGAGGCTGTCGGGAGACTCGCTTAGTCGGCCAAGCTGTTCTTGCATGTAGATAAAACTTCCCCACGGAAATGCGACGCACCCCTTTCCGAGAGCTCCCCCTCCCACCGTGAGCACCGCACATCAGCCGGCGGCCTCTTCCGTGCCCGCAGAGAGGAAGTAGAGGCTTTCTCCATCTCCGGTCACCGCCCACCCTGAACACCAGCTTGCAAGACAGGTGTGGGCAGCCAGAGTGAGTTCACACAGGAGAGCACTGAAGGCCGGCGAGGCTGGGCATGGCCCCACGAGTGCACACCTGGGTGGAGAACGTGAACCCTGCAGCCACCGCTCCCTCCTCAGACGGGGTCTTGGGTGGGCATCGCCAAGGGAAGAGCGAGAACATGCCTGCGGCCTGCACCTGTGCAGGCCAGAAGGGGCAGGGCGTTGCGTGCCGGAGGGGATGGCGCGGCTTCCTGTAGGTGGACACGTGCTGTTCCCCGGACCACTTCCAGCAATGTGTCAGTGGATCAGGGAAGCCCCTATGAGAATCGAAGGCATCGTGTTTT